CCAACCTGACCAAAGAGCAGGAAACAGTCCAATGACTCCAATGGGTCTTCAATGCAGTGAGAAAATCACCTTTCCGGAGGCGGGATTCAGCTTGTCCCTGGACACTAATTTATACAATATATTAGTATGATGTTTTTTTCTCAAACGATGATTTTTTATTCATATATATGCTATGTTGGTGACCAAAATTGATATGATCTTAATATTTATTTTCTTTTGTAGACATACCAATGATGATTTTTGGTAACAGATTTTATGTGATAAATGTCAAGAATTAAAAAAATATAATGTTCAGGATATTCATTGTATCATGCTTAAACAGCTTCAATTTTATAAGAATAAGATTCAAAGAATTTTTTTTAAAAACTGAAGTTTAAATCAGTATAAATAAATCACAGTGCCAAGAATGTTGGGTAAACATTATTTTGACAGCAACCACAAAGCCAAAAAAGCTACACAGACGTATATTAAGTCTATAAAACAAAAATCAAGAACAATATTGTTGTCAGACATGTCGGAGCATTAAGATTTGTATTAACAAATTAAAAATCATATAAACAATTAAACAGTTAGTTTTCTCGTTTGAATTGTATCACATTTTTAATGCCACGCCCTTTTATAGTTGACTATACGGTATGGAGTTTATCAATATTGAAGGCCGTGCAGTGAATATATTTGCTTATATCCACGTCATTTTAACTTTGGTTGGTTGTTGCCTCTTTAAAAATCATTACCATATCTCCTTGTTTTTATATAAAGGTTCACAAGAGAAGATATTGTTCTTGTGAAGCTGTCCTTTCTCGCATACTAATACATGATGGATATTAAAATTGTAGTAGAAATGATGGAGATCTGAAACAATAAATCAGTTAATTAATAACAATCATAAGGATATTCCTCTAGAGAAGTAGAATACACTTTTGAGTTGTTGGTTTTTTTACAAGTTACCATGCAGAATGGGATAAATCCTATTCCATCTTCTCCATGTGCATGATACAAACATGCATTCAAAGAGTATTGGGTTTCATGAATGACTGGTTTTAAAAGTTCTGTATTTCCTCTATGGACACGTGGTAACACTGGCACAGTGGTATTGTGTGAAGGTTGGTTCATAAATTTGTTCTTCTCAAAAGGATTAGGCGATACTATTCTGTCGTTTGCAGTTTATTTTGTAAATGAAAATTGAGTTGGCTCATTGTGTGATCTCACTGATCTGCAAGTAGTAGCTGTTGAGGAAATGTTTTTACATTGCATTCTTAGTATTTGTATTAGTTTTCTTTACATAGAAGTAAATTGATGTGTGTTTTTTGTAAGGTAAATGTATCCTGAGACTGCTATAACACATATAGTAGTCTCAGGTGTATTAGATATCTGAAAGAATATATAACAAGGACAGCATAAATTATAACAGGAGTTTTAGAAATGAGAATAATGGAAAAAAAACTAAGAAAAATGGACCAAAAAATAAAGAATAGAGACTAATGGTGTGCTACAATATAAAAAATAGAGAAAAGTGGTGTGCTATAATATGAACAATTATAGATAATAATGGTGTTTTATAATATAAAGATAAGAGAATACCGTGGTGTGCTAGAATATAAGAATAGATTGATTGCTGGTTGCTTGGTTATCATCTAGTGGTAAATATACTGCAAACATGTTCAGGACGAACAGAAATTATCAATAAATATAATAAGTATAAAAAAGAAGATGTGGTATGATTGCAAATGAGACAACTCGCCACAAGAGACCAAATGACACAGAAATTAACAGCTATAAGTCCTGCAACCTGCAAAGGGGCAGCAATTTAGCCTTTAGTACAACGGTCCACCTACGAACCCCTCTCATAGCACACAGAGAGCGTGTTACCCTCTATACACGAGTGCTATAACATTTAGAACAGACTTTCGCGTACTATATTGGAAAACTTGGACTGATCATGTATGACCATTTACCAATTCAGTTTTTTCTTTTTTTTTTAAATGTACATGTTCAAAATTCAGGTCAAAAAGGTCACCGTTAGCTACAGTTTATAACCGTTTTTGTAGAAATTTAAGCTAGACAAGTAGTTAATGATAAAGTATTTTAGATAAAAGTCATGGCAAAAAAATAATTAAAACTTATAAGTATTTTTAATCAACGAAAAAAATATCCGAAATCTGAAGTACGATGTGAAGGTTTATTTTGACTATTGATATTACATAAATGTTTATAAACCACTGAGACAAGAATACATGTGAAGTGGTATTGGAAGCCGTTTATTTGACATCATGTATCTATTAAAAATGCATATCACTGTCAAGTTGGGCATCACTGCGTGAGCTACAAGAACATAGAATGTCAGTTTAATAATCACATATAGATATACTAGTACACTGCTTACTGTTTTTTTATCATTAATAATTTGGGGATAACGGAAGAGCTATTTATGGATGATGTTCTATATTTATAAATTTTTGTTACGCCCCTATACATATCTGACCAGTCCGGTTAATCAACCCATACGCTATATTTATATATGCGTCTAGGTAATCGAGACTAACAACCTCATTGTTGCCAAACTAGTGATACAATAGATAAACAACTTCGAGCACACCGCCACCGAGGCCCGCTACCTTTGAACATAAGTGTGTATTGACTGCTTTTTATAAACTTTACTAGACTGTGTCATCTATTTCAATTTTTATGTATAATTCATATTGATATTCAATATTTTTTTATAATTACTTCTTTTAAAATTGAATTGATCGGAATGTTGTTTACATTTTAAACTTTAAATAATTTATCTTCCAAATTTATTTTATATGAATAGATCGAAATTCGAAACTGTAGAATTTCAACTAAAGTAGTATCATATATCTTAGGTTTAAAAGACATAAACGTAATTGATTACAAGTTTTTGTATCGCTTTACATAAAGGTAGACATTTGTGGGTTTTCTTGATTGATTTCCTTTTTGCTAGTTGATTCATGATAAGATTAGAATTTCTGTGTATCCTGGATATGACCATGGGACCCTGCATTCGCTTCTTTTCCGACAGTGTTACGGTTCCTTCAAATTTTTTGCAATGGAGCAGCCCCGGAATGATTCACTCTAGACAGTTTTTGGATGAAACTATAATTTTGCCAAAATCTGTTGAAATCGCAGTTTTTTTTTGTCTCTTTTATTATCTATAATGTAGTCATTTGTTCGGAAAAAAAGCCAAAATGATATTGAAACTTCTAAGCACGCTTATCATTTTTCTTACTGTATACTTGACTAAATATAAATGGAATTTTAGAAAGTTGACTTGCTGTGAAATAAATTCAGGATAATTGGCGTTTTTTATTTGTCACCGAATTCCTTTTTGGGTTCATATTAGTAACAGTAGTTTTCTTGATTAAGAAATATCAAAAACGTCGAAATGCACAATGTTACATGTAAAGCAACAATATGTCAAAAGTAAAATCACAAAAATACCGAACCCCGAGGAAAATTCAAAACGGAAAGTCCCTAATCGAACGGCAAAACCAAAAGCCCAAACACATCAAACGAATGGATAACAACTGTCATATTCCTGACTTGGTACAGGCATTTTCTAATGAAGAAAATGGTGGATTAAACCTGGTTTCGTAGCTAGCTAAACCCCTCACTAGTATGACAGTCGCATTAAATTACATTATATTGACAACGATGTGTGAACAAAACAATTTTCAATACCAACACGGTAACAGTTGATACAGTTAATGGTCCATGTATTGTTTAAAACAGAAATTAAAGTAACAACAACATATTAACAACTGTTTTTTAAGAGATTGATTTTAAAGAAAATCTATTATAATTGGTTTTAGGCTATTGGATGATTGTAAGACAATTTGAAGAACGTTATTAGTCGATTTTACATGCTTAATATACAAATGCACATCTGTTGTTGAGGAATTTACTAAAATTTCAGAAATAAAATATTTTTTTGTATAGTTATACTTTAAGGGAGCAACCATTTATTGTGGGGGGGGGGGGGGGGGGGGTTATGATTTTTTTTTTTTTTAGTTTTTCGACACTTTCAATCAAATTATTTTTATCAAAATTTAACACTATAAGGTATGGATAAAATCTGGATTTCGAATATTTTTTTTGTCATCTGCTTGTCATCAAATTGGGAATCAGAATATCTTTTAGGAAAAAACCATACCCCCGCCCCCCTTTTTTTGTAGTTAAATGGTCGTTCCCTAATTGACCGTAGTTGTATGGAAAATTCGTGACATGACATGAAAAAATCACTAAAGTAACAGTTATGGTATCAATCATATTGTATGTAACAGATGCTCGAAAATTAGCGATACTAAACAGCCTTACACAGATGAAAACAAGTACTAGTTAAGCAAATGGCTACATTTCGTAAGTTTAGTAGTTTTTTTTATCTCGAAGAACCGTTAATGAACTATAATTTCAACTAAAAGATACAATCTTAAACATACATATTGAAGTTGGCGAATGTGTCGTCAATGAATGTTAGGATATGTGCATAAGTTTTGTTTAAACGGATTAAATGACGTAAAAACTCACCAAAGTTATTAGGCTAGAAACATATTCTAGGCTTATAAATTGGGACATCAGACGCGTAAAAACTGTCTCAATGTTTCATCGAAAATTATTTTTTGAGCCACAATTTCATTTGATATCGGGTTTTTAGGGTAAAATTAATAAATTGAATTTAACCGAAGGATATCAAGCAAATGAATTAATTTGTATATGAAAAACTATTTATGGAAGTTCTTTCATTAAGGATTTTTTTTAAATGTCCTTGCTATACATTTTCTGGTGACTATTATTTTTCCAAACTCTATTTAAAAGACATTTTCTTGTCTCTTTAGTTATTTATAATTTGGTTAATTGTTCGTCAAAAACCGAAAATGTTATTGACACTTTTAAACTTCCCTTTGACCCCCTCATCACACGATCCTTGATTTTTTTTTGTTGACGAGTTTATATCATTCTTCTTTCCAGTCTAATTACAGTGGTTTAAATAAAATTTAATGCACACAGGTGAAAAGCATATATTTTAAAAACCTTAGGTAGACTGTGCAATGTGTGTATGTATGTGTACTGAGATTTGTAAATAAGATAAGGGGCTTATCTCGTTCGACTTAACAGGTAGTACATATATTTTTTTCTTATTTACCTCTATTCAGTGTAATCTATTTTATATGATTTTTGTTGATTTTTTAATTTGTGCATAATTTATTACAGTCTACTTTTAAAATTAACAAACTGTTTTCTACTATTATGAAGTAAGCATAATCAATTGAAGCTATAAAGCAATGACACACAAGATTTTAACTTCCTTTGTCTCAACATGCTCAAGGACAAATTGTTAAAAAGGAGATGTATATTATATGAGTTATAAATAATACTATAAGTAAAAGTCAACATATTTCGTGTTTAGATAGTTTATATAATTTATTCAAATTGATGAAAGCGGTATGGTAACTTAATTCTGTCATATCGTATCACTTAGTCCAATTAGAAACATAATTGAGGAAACGCTACAATCATGGTGTTTTCAAGAAGCTAAATATATACAATAAATAAATGTTTTAACTTATACATTTTCAAAGAATACAAATTGTAATTTTTTGATTATTCATGCTCGTACATCCGAAAGCAATGCGAGGTTACCTCTATCTGACGGACATTTCTTTTTCCTGCATATTTTTTAAAAAGGAACTAAAATCTACCACAATCTATTTAGAATTGCAGTTATGCATTCACTAATATAATTCATAATTTTATAAGAATTTATAAACTTAGGTTTTTATAACAATAGATATTTATAAGTATAATTTATCATGATTTAGCTAAACCCTTAAAGTCAAAATATCGAGCATGGGTAAGGGAGCTACCATTTGATTTTTATGGGGGGGGGGGGGTAAACACTGTCTCAATGTTTCATCGAAAATTATTTTTTTAGCCACCATATCAGGTTTTTTAGGGTAAAATTAATAAATTGGATTAACCGAAGGATATCAAGCAAATGAATTAATTTTTATATGACAAACTATTTATAGATGTTCTTCCATTAAGGATTTTTTTAATGTCCTTGCTATACAGTTTTGGGTGACTATAATTTTTCCAAACTCTATCAAATAGACATTTTTTTGTCTCTTTAGTTATTTATACATTTTGGTTAATTGTTCGTCAAAACCCGAAATGTTATTGAAACTTTTAAGCACGCTAATCATTTACCTTATTGTGAATTTAAGTTAATAAGATAATATACCGGTAAATGGACTTTTAGAAAATTGCCCTGCTTTGAAATAAATTCAGGCAAAAACGCATTTTTTGATTTGTCCAAACGAAAAGGGAATGTACGCAAATATACTCGGACCAATTGGCCATACCTTTTTTATGAACTCTAAACTTTTCTTTGACCCCCTCCCTTCCATTTATTTTGAAGCCCCCTTGATTGATTTCCTTTTTACTAGTTGATTCATGACAAGATTAGAATTTCTGTGTATTCTGGATATGATAATGGGACCCTGCATCCGCTTCTCTACCGACAGTGTTACGGTTCCTCCAAATTTCTTGCAATAGAGTACCTTCCGGATTTATTCACTCTAGACAGTTTTTGGATGGAATTATAATTTTGACAAAATCTGTTGAAATCGCGGTTTTGTTTCTTTTTTATTATCAATAATGTGGTCAATTGTTCGGGAAAAAAGCCAAAATGATATTGAAACTTCTAAGCACGCTTATCATTTATTTTACTGTAAATTTTAGTAAACATAAATTGACTTTCAGAAAGTTGACTTGCTGTGAAATAAATTCAGGATAATTGGCGTTTTTTATTTGTCACCGAATTCCTTTTTGGGTACACATTAGTTACAGTAGTTTTCTTGATTTAAAATTATCAAAAACGTCAAAATGCACAATGTTACATGTAAAGCAACAATATGTCAAAAGTAAAATCACAAAAATACCGAACCCCGAGGAAAATTCAAAAAACGGAAAGTCCCTTATCAAACGGCAAAACCAAAAGCCCAAACACATCAAACGAATGAATAACAACTGTCATATTCCTGACTTGGTACAGGCATTTTCTAATGTAAAAAATGGTGGATTTAACCTGGTTTTATAGCTAGCTAAACCTCTCACATGTATGACAGTCGCATTAAATTCCATTATCTTGACAACGATGTGTGAACAAAACAATTTTCACTACCAACACGGTAACAGTTAATACAGTTAATGGTTCATGTATTGTACATGTATAAAAAAGAAATATTAACAACTGTTTTTAAGAGATTGGTTATGATTTTTTGTCTGAGTCAGAATTTGTTTTTTTTAGTTTTTCGACGCTTTCAATCAAATTATTTTTATCAAAATTTAACACTATAAGGTATGGTTTAAATCTGGATTTCGAATAATTTTTTTGTCATCTGCTTGTCATCAAATTGGGGATCAGAATATTTGTTAGAAAAAAACCATTCACCCCCCCCCCCCCTTTTTTTTGACCGTAGTTTTCTGAAAATTCGTGACATGACATGAAAAAATCCTTAAAGTAACAGTTATGGTATCAGTCATATTGTATGTAACAGATGGTCGAAAATTGACGATACTAAATAGCCTTACACATATGAAAATAAGTACTAGTATACCAAATGGCTAGATTTCGTAAGTTTAATGTTTTTTTTATCTCGATGAACTGTTAATGACTTATAATTTCAACTAAAAGATACAATCTTACACATAAATATTGAAGTTGGCGAATGTGTCGTCAATGAATGTTAGGATATGTGCATAAGTTTTGTTTCAACGGATTAAATGACGTATAAACTAACCAAAGATATTAGGCTAGATACATATTCTCGGTCTATAGTTTGGTACAGCAGACGCGTAAAAACTGTCTCAATGTTTCATCGAACATTATTTTTTGAGCCTCAATTTCATTTGATATCGGGTTTTTAGGGTAAAATTAATAATTTGAATTTAACCGAAAGATATCAAGCAAATGAATAAATTTGTATATGCAAAACTATCTATGGAAGTTCTTTCATCAAGGATTTTCTTAAATGTCCTTGATTTACATTTTCGCGTGACTATTATTTTTCCAAACTCTATTTAAAAGACATTTTTTTGTCTCTTTAGTTATTTATAATTTGGTTAATTGTTCGTCAAAAACCCAAAATGTGATTGAAACTTTTAACTTCTAAACTTCCCTTTGACCTCCTCATCACACGATCCTTGATTTTATTTGTTGACGAGTTTATATCATTTTTCTTTCCAGTCTAATTACAGTCGTTTAAATAAAATGTAATGCACATAGGTGAACAAAATATATTTCAAAAACCTTAGGTAGACTGCAACATGTGTATGTATGTATACTGAGATTTGTAAATAAGATAAGGGGCTTATCTCGTTCGACTTAACAGGTAGTACATATATTTCTTTCTTATTTACCTCTATTCAGTATAATCTTTTTTATATGAATTTGGTGAATTTTTAATTTGTGCATAGTTTATTACAGTCTACTTTTAAAATTAACAAACTATTTTCTACTATTATGAAGTAAGCATAATCAATTGAAGCTATAAAGCAATGACACACATTTTTTCAACTTCCTTTGTCTCAACATGCTTAAGGACAAATTGTTAAATATAAAAATAAGGAGATGTATATTATATGAGTTATAAATAATAATATAAATAAAAGTCAAAATATTTCCTGTTTAGATAGTTTAGATAATTTATTCAAATTTATGAAAGCGGTATGGTAACTTAATTCTGTAATATCGTATCACTTAGTAAAATTAGAAACTATGATAATTGAGGAAAAGCTACAATCATGGTGTTTTCAAGAAGCTAAACATATACAATAAATAAATGTTTTAACTTAAACATTTTCAAAGAATACAAATTGCAATATGTTGATTATTCATGCTTGTACATCCGAAAGCAATGCGAGGTTACCTCTATCTGACGGACATTTCTTTATCCTACATATTTTCTAAAAAGAACTAAAATCCACCACAATCTATTTAAAATTGCAGTTATGCATTCACTAATATAATTCATAATTTTATAAGAATGTATAAACTTAGGTTTTTATAACAATAGATATTTTTAAGTATAATTTATCATGATACAGCTAAACCCTTAAAGTCAAAATATCGAGCATGGGTAAGGGAGCTACCATTTGATTTTTATGGGGGGGGGGGGGGGGGGTAAAAACTTTCTCAATGTTTCATCGAAAATTATTTTTTGAGCCACAATTTCATTTGATATCAGGTTTTATAGGGTAAAATTAATAAATTGGATTAACCGAAGGATATCAAGCAAATGAATTAAATTTTTCTTTATGTCATTTCTATACAGTTTCGGATGACTATAATTTTTCCAAACTATCAAAAAGACAGTTTTTTGTCTCTTTAGTTATTTATACATTTTGGTTAATTGTTCGTTAAAAACCCGAAATGTAATTGAAACTTTAACGCACGCTAATCATTTACCTTATATTGAATTTAAGTAAATAAGATAATATACAGGTAAATGGACTTTTAGAAAATTGCCCTCCTTTGAAATAAATTCAGGCAAAAATGCGTTTTTGATTTGTCCACACGAAAAGGGAATGTACGCAAATATACTCGGACCAATTGGCCATACCTTTTTTATGAACTTTAAACCTTTCTTTGACCCCCTCCCTTCCAATTGTTTTAAGCCCCCTTAAATGATTTCCCTTTTACTAGTTGATTCATGACAAGATTAGAATTTCTGTGTATTCTGGATATGATAATGGGACCCTGCATCCGCTTCTCTACCGACAGTGTTACAGTTCCTCAAATTTCTTGCAATAGAGTACCCCCGGAATTATTCACTCTAGACATTTTTTAGATGAAACTATAATTTTGCCAAAATCTGTTGAAATCGCGGTTTTGTTGTCTCTTTTATTATCTATAATGTAGTCAATTGTTCGGAAAAAAGCCAAAATGATATTGAAACTTCTAAGCACGCTTATCATTTATTTTACTGTAAATTTTAGTAAATAAAAATGGACTTTCAGAAAGTTGACTTGTTGTGAAATAAATTCAGGATAATTGGCGTTTTTAATTTGTCACCGAATTTCTTTTTGGGTACACATTAGTTACAGTAGTTTTC